TAATTATTTCAAATAAATTCTATTTTGAAAAATAAAAATTAAATGATAATTTATAATTAACATTCATTATCGCTTTCATGATTTTTTCTTAGTTTTTTTTACTTTCAGCACTCCTTCTTTTTCTCTTACTTTTTTATCTGTCCGCTTTTTTTATTTGCATATTCACTCTCATCCTCATCTCCACCTTTACTCTTACTATCGCTTCCCTCACTATCATCATCACTACCAACACTTTTATTTAATATATCAGCCTCTTTGTCAGATATTGTTGTAATATTCATAGGGAGCCTTTTGTACCTTTTGAAGGTAATTTTGCTCCTGTTTTTGATGATGTTGCTGCTGTTTTAGTTTGTTTTGTTGTTGCTGCTATTGTTGTTGCTGCTGCTGTTGTTGTTGCTACTGCTGTCATTGTTGCTGCTGCTATTATTGTTGCTGTTGGTGTTACTGCTACTGTTGTTGTTGCTGCTTCTGTTGTTGTTGTTGTTGTAGTTGGTATTGTTGTAGTTCGTGCTGATGATATTATTACTGTAATAAAATTAAACCATATAGCAGCAAGTTCACTTATATTAGGAAGTGGTGAAGTATTACCATTCCGCTTTCTTATTTTGTATAATATAATTCTACTATTATCATCTCTTTCTTTTCTATCATTGTTGTCTCTTTCTTTCCTTTTACTTCTCTTACTACTTTTTCTGCATCTGCACTACCATTTTATTTCACTTTTTTTTTCTTATATGGATCTTCATCTTTAGTGAAAAAGTCTGTGTCAAATTCTGGATCTAAAATGTTAAATAGGTTTAAAGCTTCTTCTGATAATACCCAACTTGGGCAATCAGGTGATGGCATTTCAGTCATATCAACCTGCCTTCTATAATACCATTTATGCATTCTATTTTTCTTTAGCTGCAGTTATTTTACAAATAGATCAATATACTTATGAAATAGCCGTTTTAACTAAATAAGTAAAATGATAGTCTGTTAATATGATATTTATACCAGCATAGAATATGATTTTTTACATAGTAAAAAATTAAAAACATATATACTGTATAAATAATATTTTAAAAATTGATTAACATTATTTTTTCAGCACCAGTAAAATATTTACTTACATTAGAGCCTCACCACTATTTGTTAATACAAACTAACTTCTTAACCTTCTCATTATCTTTCGACTAATCCTCATTCATCTTTCACTCTTCATCAGAATGATAGGCATTCTCTCCTTTGCTTCTTGTTAAGATCTTTAATTTTTCTTGTGAATATCTTCTAATACTTTTATTTCCTGCCTTTATTAAATATGTTAATGCTTTTTGTCTCCTTTTCCTCTTCTATAATATAGTAATTTAAATTATTATATTTCACTTACAAATCATTTACCTGATAAATCAATAAGAGATTACCAATATATTAGATAAATGATTTGTGGGCTAAGTAACAAATCATTTACCCAATATATCAGTAAGAGATTACCAATATATTGAGTAAATGATTTGTTAGTTAAGTAACTCTAAAATTGATTTAAAAAATAATTTACATGACAAATTTTATTATGCTTACCTCATTCACCTTACTATTTTTCTCCATTCTGGCGCGATTGTAGGCCTTTAATTTTAGATCAGCATTTATTGTTGCTGTCCGACGCTGCGTCTTATGATGTTGTTTTAAAATTTTTTCAATCGCACCAGAATGGTGCCGATATCCTGGTAATTTTTTTGTAATGGCCGGAATCAGCTTTTGCCTCATGTCCCGCGATTGGCTAGCCCATTGTTTAGTCAGATCAGGCTTTAGGTCAGATAGCTTACCACCTTCTATTAATACTTTAATT